CTCCAGACCCTGCACCAGCTCCGTTGCCCTTCTCTGGACACGCTCGAGTCATTCAATGTCCTTTTTGTAGTGAGGGGCCCAAAACTGAACACAGGAATCGAGGGGCGGCCTCACCAGTGCCGAGTACAGGGGTCAGATCCCTTCCCTGTCCCTGCTGGCCACGCTATTGCTGACACAAGCCAGGATGCCATTGGCCTTCTTGGTCCCCTGGGCACACTGCTGGCTCCTGTTCAGCCGGCTGTCAATCAACACACACACACACCCCACCCCACCTCCGGTCCCTCTCTGACTGGCAGCTCTCCAACCACTCCCACCCAACTATTCCCTACACAGGTCAAGGAGTGGGATTTGCCATGTCCTGTCACGGCTTCCAGTGCTCAGTCTGAAAGTGTCCTCTTCTTCTTAGACACTTCAAGGAATAGAGTTTCACCATATTTTTTGGCCCTTCCTTAGTATTCCTTGGGGGATAATTTGGCAGTGTGCCCACAGTTCATATAGCATAACAACTTACCTGATACTTAGCAGATCCACATTGTGAATGTTCAAAGGATGCAGGTAGTCAGGGTAGCAAGGCTGGGTCAGGGTATTCCTGTCTTCTGTTTCTAGAGACACAGAGGTCAACAGAGCTCCAAATATCATCTTCAGCTTTGGAAACGCCATACATTTTCCTCCTTGACGTTGTGATATTGGTCTATGTATTTGCTGCAGTCAAAAAATTCTCTTTTTATTCTTTCTATCTGAATCCAAAAGCAAAGATACCTGAGACTGCATCCAACATGGGAAAACCAGTTCTGAGCACTTATCTTGGGCTCTGTATACAGTATGGGCATCCCAGCACATTGTGGAGCCCACCGAAGGCCTTAGGGAGGGTTCTGAAGCTCCCAGAGGTATGTCATAAAGGTGTCTGGGAGATGCCCATCTATGACCTGAATGGATTGTACTTACCTAGAGCATGAGTGGAAAGAAGAGGAGGCCTTGTGTGTTGGAGGAGTATGGCTTGGCAGTTGGTTACTTCTTGAAGTGAGATTTTTGGAACTTGCTAGTAAAAATTCATAAGGACAAGACTGCTCGTGTGGAATGATCTCACCAGCTGCATTCACATTTTGTAAAAGCATTTCTTGGAGTAATGAAGTTGTTGATAAAAATAGGTTAACAGCTGCTGATCTTAAGAACAGTGAAGAGGATCATTGTGCTGTCAATCTGTACTTGCACCATATATAAGAAACACTTCAAAAGCTTTCTTTGAAGAAATGGCGTTAATTTTACTATAAGAATAGAACAGTAATCTTCACCCCCAAATCTAAATGTTCCTGATAAAAAATACCCTTCAAGCAGAGAAAAGCTTTGAAAATATCAATCATTAAACAAGCAAAACCATTAACAAAAGCTGTACAGATAAATACACTCTGTGTGTACAGATGCAAATTTGCCACCTTCTCCTCTACTGCAGATTTTATTTATATTGTTCTTTTTCCAAAGTATATGCTTAGACATTTTGGTAATGCTATTATTAGCTTTAAGAGAACAAGGCAGTAAGACAAGCTTATTTGGAGTCATATCCACTTCATTTGATAACTAACTACAATTCTGAGAGATGCACTTTAAATGTTTTATTAGGGAGAGGCTTCCTATTTTAGTAACCTTATTGACTAGATGTCTATGCGTTGCACATGTAACGTAATATAAATTGAGAGATAGCATAAAAATGGCAACTGCACGTTGTCAAAGGTGGACGTAAACGGCAAAATAAAGCAGAAAAAATACAACACAGCCTGGCAGAAATCTGAAAAGTCATGCTGGTCTTCGGATCAGGTATCTCTCAACAACTCATGCAGCAAATAATCTAGTTGGAACTGAAGCTGGCAAACAAAACTAAGTGCACCTGTATGAAAGAAGTATCCTGATTCTTGAACTTCTACCTGATTCTTATAAAATCTATAAAATAATTTCCTATAAAAATAATAGAAATAATGGGTAAATGACGGCCATCATGAAATATGAGTGTCTTAATTTCAATAATGTATGGGGAAATAGTTTATTAAACAGCCGCACTGCTAATACCATTATGCTCAAAACAGCTATATGAAGGAAGATAGGCTGTTGTTAAATAGAGTCTGAATTTGCACAGGCAGAAGGACCTGTAACCCTGAATCTAAGCTATTTATAGCATGGACCATAGTGATTCTAATCACTTCATTATAATAACTTATTGTAAGTCTCTGTGCAATGCTCTGCAATTAGAACAAATACAGACTGCTCAAGGATCTGGTTTGTCCATATATACACCAGCAGAAAGTCAGGCAGTCCTCTGTGAGCTGCAGTTACTTTACAGAGCAAGAGCAACAGTTCCTCACATCGCTGTTGCTGCCAGTAAGATGGAAAAGGTAAAAACCGGTTCTGGATCAAGTGAAATACTTTTGTTTCAAGCTTTTCAACTCTTTAGCCCCAGTTTACAAAATTGGACAAACATATAAATTAAAACATGGAAACATCAAACTATTTCCTTCCAGGAATGTCAGGAATGTTTCAGGGTGGACTTAGACCTCTTTCTTCAGTAGTTACATTTTTCACCTGATGATTGTATCTGTTTCTGCTGGGTAGCGCTATTTATAAGAAACTGAGTCTTCCTAAAGGGAAGATACTTGGTGGAGTGTGTTTCCACAGTGTTCTGCAGCAGTGAGCCACTATCCTTCAGCAGTGATTGATCTCAGGGGAATCTTTTAGCATAGTTAATAGCTGTATTAAAGTCCTTAAGTCACAATATTATTAAGTCTCTTGGAAAAGGGGCCCATGGGTCATTTGTGGGGAAGAGGTAGTCTTGCATGCTGTGACTTCAGGGGAATGAGAGAGTGAGAAGAGGTAGGATCTTTTTTTCCCTGGTTTCTTTGCGTGGGAGCTAGGGAGAAGAACGTTTTTGGTGCTTCCTTTGGCATATGGGATGCCCTATCTCAGCATAACTCCCTCCTGGAGCCACTGGTTCCCCAAAACCCTACGTACATTAGCTCTGCTCCCTGCGCCGGCATGTTGCTGAGGAGAGGCACTAGTGCTGCAATAGCCGGTGGTTGGGGTGAGGGAAGTGCGGCGCGTATCCCAGCTGTAGAGGAAGGGAGAGGAGAGGATGGGGAGAGAACTGTGGCACAGAGCAGGATGGGTTATGACCTACAGTTTATGTCCAAAATAAGGCACAAGTCTAGAATGCTGCAGTAATACAGCATTTTGTGTACATTGACTTACTGGTTTAAGCCTTTTAAAATCTGTCACTGCTTCCAGCTCCTTCTGAAATGGTAACATACAACACATAGACACTACAGAGGTCTAAAACCAGGTGACGTGAATACTGCCCAACACAGATAAAGATCTTCCTTCAAGAACAGAGTTTCTCTGCTCCTCTCCATCAGGTTCTAACCTGGAGATATTCTGTGTTTGGTTTTCTTCTAAAGAGCATGTCAGCTTATGGCAGCCCATCAGTCACTAGTGCCGGGCTGCATCTTAACAATGCTACATGCAGACCCATGTCTGACTGTGTGGTCTTTTCCACTAATTTTGTTACTGCTTTAATATTGTTTTCTACCTAACCTAGTGATGGATATAAATTCGGGACATCATTGAAAGTAGGCTAAACTCATTACTTGTCAGATTGCACCCCGTTTCTAGGTGTTACTTCTGAGGGTGTAGCATGTCTAGGAAGGATTAACCTGGCACAGACAAGTTGCCCTTTAGTGGGCTATTTTCCAGCTCAAAGGCTATGAACAATGACCAAGAAAACACAGAGTCCGTTTTTTTTGTGGGGAAAGGTTCACCAGGGTAAAACAAACTTTTATTTTAATCTGGGAGTCCTTTTTCGGCTTGTTTTCTAAGACACCAATGTGGATTTTCCATGGCTTGTAACTTTGCTTTATGTGGCATATCATAGTTTAGCTAGTCACTCCTTATTATAAATTATTTACTCTTTGTCTTCCTACTCTAATTCTTAGATTACGGTAACAAAATGAGCTTTTGTGAACCCATTCTTGTGTATTTTTGCATTGTTTTTACAGCTGCCAACTTTGTGCTTTTAAAGAAAGTATTCTTACCATCTTGCATTAACATTAGGCAATGGCTATGGTGTTTTTTTGCAGTTAAATTTGTTGTCTCACATTTGCCTGGAAGATTCCTAAATGAGTATTGATATGTTTACACCTCATCTTGGAGTCTGATCTACTCCATTTTTCTCAGAAGAACTGTAAGTGTTCAACCACCAAATTTCAGATTTGGATTCCATTCAGATTTGGATTCCATTGTCAAATCCTAAATTGACACTGGAGAAAGACGTCACTGTTATTAGGAAAGGATTTGCCCTCTCTTTTGACAGCAGAAATGTGTTGCCTCTTCACTTCCCATTAATACATTTTTCACTGTGAAATATGAACTTGGTCTTCCTCCCCTCTTTCTGAACATACGAAAGCTCAGTTTTTAACTGAGGCTGATGATGTATAAAGTGGCAGTCTCTATTTTCACCATTCAACCCTAGGAAAACTAACTGTTACTATACCTCCTTGGTACCCTATGTAAATAACCTAGTTCTGACCTTACATATTTGCTATCTGAAGACCAAGACTGAAGCTGCTTCCATGAGTTTCTCAAGAGCAGCATTTTCTGTGCATTGGACAGGATGGTATATTATAACATCTAGATTATATACAGGCTTTTCTATGAAGATTTTGTTCCTCTCTGTTGTTTACTAACTGGATTTGCTGTGAATTTCTACTTACTGTAGTCAATCAGTACACTTTGCTCTTACCTCTTCAGAGGTGATTTTACTTGAAATTCACATTTATATAGGCAGCAGCTTTTGTCTTTTTAAAAAGACAGTTGAAAGCTCTGACTCTGGTATTACTCTTTTACTCCCAAATCAAAACATGGTCTGTGTAGACTTACATTTTAGTTTGTCTTTGTAGGCAGTAGTTTTTACTATCTGTCGTAGCTTTTAGCATAACATACAAACCACTGAACACAATAGCTAAACCCAGATTATTTTATTGTTGAGAGAAAGAAAGGCTTGTTTGAGCCTTTATGGTTGACATTACAGATTTAACAGTTATGCATCATTAATAGTTGATAACATTATTTTAATTTTCATTTGCATGCATCGAGACAATAGTACAAGCAAGACTATCATTACATTGCAACATTAGCAGACCATTGTATGACTAGGAACTTAAAAATGGCTTCAGAGAGCATGTTGAATAGAAGAATGCAGCTGATCTCCAGCTCTGCTTAGAAAAAATACGCTTGCATGAACCGAAAGAAACAATTTGACATATTAAGACTTGCCTTTATTACTGTTACTTACTCAGCTTTTTGCCAGCAGTTGAAGGAACAGAACAATGCTTACTCTTTCCAGTTCAGTTTTGTTTAAGCATTATCACACAAATAAATGCCTTCAAATACATAAGCTTTAAATTCTGATTCTAATAAAAAGCAATCTGAAATTTGAGCATCTCCTACTTCCTAAAATACAGAGGTAAAAGAGCAAACTCTCCTCTTACAGCTCCCCAAATCACATAAAAAAATGTTTGCTATTCTAGTGTATGACCCAAATTTGAATAATACATTTAAAATTATATATTACTGGTCAGCATTTTCCAGTCTATGCTCATATTACAGAATATATTACTGTGATTAATGTACGCCTTTTGCATTCAGCATTAAGTGATAAATATATCATTTTCTAGGTCTACTATATAATGCGGGTATCTATACATCAAAGGTGACAGGTATTGCACAATTTATTAAGTTTAGGCACAGGGCCATTTGATGACAATTAAATTCCTTAATAAATACTTGGTCTTCTTGTGGGTAGTATTTGTCATAGTTCATGAACTAAACACAAGTGAAAGAATCCTTTTTTTAGAAACGTAGTATTTTAAAAAGCCAGAGCTACTTTTATGTTCCAAAGAATAATTGAGGCACATTAGGCCCAGTTTCAGGGAGGGACAGATTGTCCTGTGGTACCTGAAATCCCATCAAGAGAGACTATAGAAATAGACTAACATAAAGAAAACGATGTGTTCTAAATGCTTTATGTTTATTTGTAATCGTTTCAAGTGCACATATTATCAAACATAAACTTACTGGTGTGTCTAGCTAAATTATATTCTGTAATTAAATTTGTGGTGTGTGTGAAGTAAAACACCATGAGTATAATAATCAGATTATGTGTATTTAAATGTTTTCAGCATCTCTTACGTTTTGTTAAAATGATGCTGAGTTCTTGCTGAATGTTTGAATTACACTTATTATTCTACATGCTTTCATACAGCATCTGTTGTATTCAGGTATATTAAGCTATATTTTATTTACTTGTAAACTAGAGAACATTCTTTTTTAATCAGTGTACTAACCACAAAGCCTAATTTTACTGTACAAAAGACGCATGTTGAAAATTCAAAACCTCTTGAGTCATTAAAATTGCCAAGAACAAATTGAAAAGCATTTTCTCCTTTTGATTAGAATCCATAGTGTGTGTTCATTTGTATAAACCATCCATGCAAGGAATTTAATCTTAATTTAATTCTGGTTTGCATGTTTTCAGTGCAGATTATAAAAGCTCAGGAATTTATTTGTGCCAGCTGGACTGAGTTTAAACTACACCCAACACATCCTGACACCACAGATATCTGCCAGATAGGGAAAAAAACCCAGCAACACATCTTTTTGAGGAATTTTAAATATTAATATAAAATATTTTGAAATACATAATACTTTTTTAGCATCTAACATTGTATTGTTGTAACAAACTTGCAAATTGACAGCTTCTCTGACAGCTACATCATTTCTTTGGAACTATATTTTAAAATATTTTTAAAAGACTATTCTATGCTCACCATCTCTTTTTTTTCCCCCCCCCCCCCAATACAGCACTCAGGAACATTGTCATTCAACTATAAAATATTCATAAAGCACACCTTTGAATGCTCTACTACAAAACATTTTTTCTCCACACAGGCAGAGTTCTTCTGCATTTTTCCATTTTCACAATTGTAATCCAAATGGGACTTCTGAAAATCCATCAAGAGTATTAGCATAGATTAGAATGGCCTGTAGAGAAGTATCTTCAGTTGTGACTGTGAGTGTATGGTTGCGCCAAGTTTGCCAAAGTTAAAATCATACCAGATACCCTGACTTTTTCCTTACTGTGAAAATTAGATTGGATATTTAAGATCTAAAAGTTCTAAAGCTTAAACTTCAGACCTGGAAGAGATCTAGAAGTCATTTTCCTGCGTGCTTTCTGGTTTCACAGTCATGCTTCCAATATTATTTTTGAACGCTTCAGTAACCTGAAAAGATTCAGCAGCTCCATTTCCATCCTTGGAATATTCAGTACTGGGCTATACAGAAGCCATCTAATCTACCTTCAGGGTTGTCTCTGCGCTGTGAGGGGACTCTGACCTGCCCGCATAGTTCCCTCTAGACCCCTCTAGATTTGATGGCAACATCATTGCTTAGACTGGCAGTGTTTCTGGTGGTTTGTACCAGAGTTTAACAGATCGTTGACCAAATGCCCTAAGCAGGATAGCAATACTGCTACTACTATATTAATCCAATTAATCTAGTTTTTACTGAGTTTTGTTAGGGCCTGCTGATGAAAAGCAGACTTTGTGTTGTGCCCCACAGACTTCTTTCAGCATTCAAAGGAGTACTTAACCTTTTTTAATGTTTGGATGCTCTAGATAGCCTATAGGCTTTCCTTTTCAGGTTTTACTTTTTCTTAAGTTGTGCATGTCCTCTGGTCTTCTCTAAATACTTTGTAATTCTCTGCTTCCACTCCTATTCCTGTACCTTAATCCTTTTGAGCGTAAAAAAAAGCCACCTCCTCTCAGCGTAATCCTTGCACATAAAATTGACTTCTGTTTATGGTCCGTGGCTAGGTCAGTCATGCCACCTAGCTTTAGATGTCTCCAGTGCAGTTCTGTATTTGTGTTAGCCTCAGCCTTATTAACCAGGCACCTCTTAAATATGGCTATGAGACCTGTGATCCCCTCTACATGTGAAATTTTTATCCTGTACTGCAAGCTCAGGTAAACCCATTCAGTACAGGTACCTGTGCTGCCACTCAGGCTTCCCATACAATCAGCAGAAACAAATGAGAACTTCTGGGGCATGACTTGTATGATCCATTTTAAAATGTCTGCTCTGGGATGAGTAGACATGCACTGCTTCCTAAAAGTGCACACTGTATTCTGCTGACAGCAAAGGAGCCTGTGATACCTATCTCAGCTGTGAGAAGCTGCACCAGTGGGCACACTCGATCAGATGAATCACACCTTGTTTTCATTTCTTCTCACTATGCTTCTGAAAAAGCCAATTACATTATTTTTCACAAAGCACCAAAAGATTCTGACCTAGGACAGTGGAGGAGAAGGTGCTTGATAGCAAGAGCCGAACTCTTATTTTCAGTTTCTGCCTAATCACTGGAGAGGAACAAGACTTACAGGGAACAACTCATCCATCCTGAAGTAGATGTCTAGAATAAGTCAGATGAATTGTGCCTTAGAAATGCCTGTCTCCTGTGTTGTCTATGAAGAGTGCTTTAGACCAGCTAGGTCAGAAATGGATGTGAACATCTCAACAAGATTAATTCTGACCAGACTGTAAAGTGTTGGGACAGTGATGGTCACACAGTGATCATTAACATCTCCTTAGGTCACGTGTATGCCAGGCTGTGCTGCTTTACATGGAGTAATTGTGCATTGGCTGAAAACTAACTTAAGGACTGTGAGAAAAGACAAATATTGAAATGTAGCATATGGAAATTCTTCACCCTACAGGCTATCAAACAATTTGGTTCACACAGATGCTGATGATCACAGAGGAGTTCTGAGATATGAATCAAACTTGCAGATGATACTGATTCAAGCAGTGATGTGAAAAGTACCCAAACAAAAGAACTAAGTGGATAGGCATGAACTAAGTAGATAGACATGTACTCTGGGGGCAATATAGGGAAGGGAAGTAAACTTGGAAACTACAGCTTAAAAGTATGAAGTGAAGAGATTCAGCCACAGAAGAGAAACCTAGGAAGCGGTAATACAGAAAGAGATGTGTAAATGGCATAACAAATGGGAAGCGAGGTAGGACTTCGCAGAGCAGACTGGCAAGCAAAACATGTTAACAAAAGGAAGCTCAAGTCAGCAAGCAGTCAGGTGCATACCTCTTCTTTATCTTTGTGATTGCATCCACAGCGTAAAAGTTCAAACGTAATGTAAAAATATTTGGGGGATCATGTAAGTGCCAAAAAGCTATTAGTAATTTTAAAAAATATTATACAATCACTGAAGGTAACTGGGAGAGGAAAGCTGAGTTGTGAGGTAGATGAAAATATAGACAGCTTGGCAAACTTATACCCGCTGGATACAGATGTCAGTAATTCACTGCAGTGTTGTTAACCGCAAGCAAAGAGAGAAACTGAGTTAGAGTGGTACTGAAAAATATGGGCTGGAATGTGAGACCTGTAGCCCAGGGAGCTCTGTTGGCAGCTCTGTTTTAGAGACTTCAGGAAAACAAGCCAGACATGGCATTAGAAAGTAAAGAGAATAAAAACTGATTATATCCTAGTACATGGAATGGTATGAATGTCCTCATGGTTTAAACTGCTGCTGTTCTTTTAAAGACAGCTGATTCATGTTTTTTGTAAATTTAGATTTCTGTAACACAGTAATAGCTCTCCAACACTAGGGGTGTTCCCTGTGGAGGAGAGTTTTCACATCCTCTAAGGCATGGGATGGGACTTTACCCATTTATTCCCTATTTTAGTGAGGATTCTATTCATACAAAGAAAACAGCTTCTTTTAAAAATTTTTTTTTTTCATTTCTTCCCTTTCATCCTTAATATAGTGTGATCCCACCTTCTGTTTTTGAACAAAACAGCAGGATCAGATCATTCCAAGGGAGAATTTGGGGTCTGTGACAGCTCAGTGGAAGAACTCACCTCCTTGGGTTCATGTAGATCAAGTGCGCCATACTACATGCCCTGGGATCTCACCCATAGGTGGTTGAGATGGGAATGCTGATTGTTCCACACTGTTGGTCTCTTTGACTAGGTGTCTGTGGTGTTAGAGGTGCTAAAGGAGAAAAAAAGTCTGGTGCTGACCACCATTCTTCCCCAGAGTAGGGTTTGGGCATTTGAAATGTGCACCAGGTCTGGAAGTTTCGGGAGTGCTCCCATTTTCACCAGGACAGATAAGGCTATGTAGCCCAGGGACACCTCTGTATATGGTAATTTCTACTCATTGTCTTAGCTCATCTTTCAGTTTGTTGACCCTAGACTTCAACACAAAGATGTGCTGTAAATTAGCTGTAACCACTCAGAAACTAACCTGTCGAGTCACTGTCTTCACTCCCTCAAAACATCATTGTCCAGCATGAGCAAAAACTTGAGTGGACTGTCAGGAATTATGGTTATTCTTGAGAAATTTAATCTGAAATCCCAAGACATGGACGGAATGGAACAAGACAAGAAAGGCAAGGAGCTAAATTAGATACTCCAGCTTGCCTTTTAGATTGATTCTGGAGGACACTGATCCATATATCACTAAGAACTAAAACTCTACTACTTCTAAGTACTCCACTAACTAATTTACAGGAAAGTCGATGCTATTGCTTAGAAATTTGTCATTGAATCATACCTGGAGTGATGTGGCCATCTTTACTGTTAATTAAGGAAATTATAAGGCAGTCCCAATTTTTGTTCTTGACAGTTTTCCTATCCCACAAATGGCAACTTCCTTTATTAATCAAGCATACTCTGGTTAAGGCTTGTACTTTCCATCAGAGCCAATTTTCCTAAGATGTTGGTGGTACAGCCTTTAAAACTGGCTCCAGGCTTGGCTCTGGGTGCAGGGTAGAAGTCATTTTATTGTCTGTTTCTGGACGTGGTTTGTCATCGCACATGTTTCCACCATCCGTCCTCTGATTCAGCTGGATAACGCTTACCTTCGAGTGGCAGGTGGGCTCTCCATCAGTGGAGGAAGACGGTTGGCAGTGGAAAAGCTGACGAAAGCATTTGTAAAACTGAAACAACAAACAGACAATTCTAGAGAGTTGCTAGGCAGGCTACAATTCAGAGCATTTCTGTAACAGCTTGGAGGCAAGGAAACATAGTTTATTCAGCTCATACTTTTTGCTCAAATAGGGATTAATATTTTTTAGCCCTGAATCTGTGTTTCTTGCTACTCAAGACTAAAGTTCATTTAAATTTATGGACTTTTTCCATTGAAAATTATATGCTTACCTTTTCTAAGACCATAGACTCTGTACAGTGTAAAGCTGTAGAACAATCTAAAACATTTTCAGAACCTTTCATTCATGATAAAAGAAGATTTAATCACAGAAGTAATTGGTTTTCAGTTACTTCACACATCAGACTGGGAAAAAATCATTTTGATAATCTAATGATACACAGCAGGGAGAACATAAGGTTCTTTTCATTAGCAAGTCATTGAAATCTGTGTTCCCAAACTGCAAACTAAACTTCAGAAAATGGCTTTGCTTAATTAATGAACCAAAATAATTTTTAACGTTAATTCACTTCACTTGAGATCTATCCAAAACACCTTTGATGCTTTCTGATTCCAAAACTGTTGTACAGAAAAAAATGACAATTACATCAGTACTCATTTATAAGTGCAAAGTGATTTATACAGCTGTCTCCTCTGAGAGTTGACAGTTGTAGTCAGCGGATGGGGATACCAGTAATGCAACAAGTGCTTCAATACACTTTCTATATATTTTTATTTTGTAAGTGAAATATTTTTTTTAAAAAAAAAGGCTTACTTCGTCATTCTTCTTTCACATGGCTGTGTGAAACAGAAAAGGCTCCCAGAAGCTGTGACTGATGTGAAAGTATTGCAGTTTAGACAGTGCTCTTGATCAATATCTGAAAACGTGCAGCTGCAACAGTAAGATTCCTCTCATTTAAGCTATAAAGACCTTCTGTTAATATGGATTTACAATTGTGCAGTAGGAAAACTAAGTTTGCATAGCCCACCTATCTTCTTCATTAATTTGTCCTGGTCTAGTTTTGATCTTCAGTATGGGATAAGGAGAGTAACAGCATCTTAGGACTGCACCTAAGGTTAAAGCAAACCTTTGCTTGGCTGTAAACAATAAATTGATTTCCATATGGCCTTTCTTAGCTGCTATTGACAGTGCTGATGATGGTCTGCCATTGACATGTGGCAGGAAGATATGGGTTGGCATTTTGTGGATTCTTCCTCACTGAGCACGAGGTGGTCAGGGGCTTTTCTGCTCTAAGAAGGGATTCACTTTCCTCAGCCTCTCTCCATGTGACTTTTCACACAGTTGTCAGAAGCTGTGAGATTTTGTGCCACAACTGCATGGCTGATGTTTTCTTATATGCCCTTCTGCATGTGTTTAGGCTGCCTTCTTGGTCATGTCTAACTGCTTGGAGAGAAGCAATTGCTTCAGTTTCAGACTAAGAAAGTAATAACAGTGTAACAACATTGTAAAAGTGATATTGTAATAAGGTGGAGATGTTTCAAGAAGTACATTGATACCCTAAAGTTGCTAACAATCTTCATGAACCATCCAAAAGTTGTCAAGGCAAGAAACGTGTGTGATAATGGCCCATTTTCTGTTCTTGCTTCCCCTTGCCATGATGTACAAAAAAGAAAAGGGAAATCAGTCAGATTCTTCACAGCCTTGAAGATTAGTGTGTGTGTGTGTGTGTGTAATTATTTTCAAGACACAGACACCCAAAAGTACAGAGGAGGACTGGGCATACCTGGATTTTTTTTTATATCTCCTGTACATGGGAGGTCAGAGTTTCTACCACTTCCACTGTGGAAGTGGTAGAAGTACCAAGAAGATCTTAAAAGCACCAGACAATTGCTCTGTATATATGTGTGTGTTCTGTATTCTGCAAGTGAACATAAAGACCTGGTCTTCTTGCTAAATAGCTTCAGGAACTGATAATATACAAGAAAACCAAGAAAAGTGATCAGTTGACTCAAAAAAATTAGCATGCAGCTGCATGAGGTCCCTGATTGTTGGGGGGGATGTTTTGTGGACAGGATAGGGTAAATGGGGAGAGGTGAGAGAGAGCAGTCCCCTCACTTGAGGAGGCTGATGGTGGCATGCAAGCCCTTCATAGGTGTTTTTATTCTTCCCTTATGATTGTTGTCCTACCCCATCTACTCTACAGAAATCACAACCTTTATGTATCAGAGACAAGTGAAAGCTGCTCTAATAGAAGGAACTATTATTCACTTAATGATTTTACAGAAGTAAAGGTGTGCAACAGCAAAGGAAAGGAGGAAAGAAAAACAGATGAGATGCCTGCGAGAAATTTCTGTGAGAAAGATGAAATCTGGTGTTCATTTTTTTTTTCCACGTTCTGCTCCAGGTATCCTCATCATGATGTCCATGTGTAACGAAGTACATGTATATGAATACATCCCTTCAGTCCGACAGACCGACCTGTGTCACTACCATGAACTCTACTATGATGCAGCTTGTACGTTAGGGGCCTACCATCCACTGCTCTACGAGAAGCTGTTGGTGCAGAGGATGAACAAAGGTTTGCAGGATGACCTGTATCGGAAGGGGAAAGTCATTTTGCCAGGGTTCAAAGCTGTCAAGTGTCCCAAACGAAATAATTTCCCGCACTTGTAGAAGAGAGTCCTTCAGAAACAATGTGCAATAAGGTACTACTGTCGTACTATAAACAAGAAGAGAATACTTGAAAAATGTATCTTAGACCAATCTAGTCTTGAGTCTATAAATTGTAATTAAGTAGCAGGCATGAAAAATACTTCTTTTCAGAGCCTGAATATTTATTACTGCTTTGCAAATAGTTAAAGAAAAAAAAAAAGGCTTAGCTCATGAAAGGTACAAAGGACATACTTAAGCAGAAATATAATGTATTGTTGTGGGTGTGACTGTCAGAATTTGTTGGTGGTCTCTTATGCCACATATGCTAGACTGTAACTTTTTTTTAAAAAGAACTTAATTTAACTGTTAAACCTGGCATTGTGAAACAGCCTCTATTGTTCGTGTACAGAGTGGCCAGTTGAACAAGGCAGTGTTTCTCATGGCATCATGGGATTTTCACACTCTCCAGGATTGAAGTAATTGCTACTACGAGCTGTGCAGTCATTGACTAGAGTAGACTTTAATTCCCGTTCATAAGCAGGCTCAGTTACAGACCTCCAACTGTACAGAGGGCTTTATGGTGGCTATGAAGTCAGTGCAGATGGAGATTGGCTGTACACACACAGCTAAACCATTTAAACTACGGGATGAAACTTTTGATGCCAGACCCCCATGCTCACACTGACTGCATGGGGCAGAAGAAAAAGAGAAATGTCTCATTTCTTTAGAGAGCAACAAACATATTTGTAACTCATTCAGGAAAAAACTTTCACTGGGAGGCCTGTCAAGAGGGTGTTAGTGAGATGGAAATGATGCCTTCCCCTGGTCTGCACAGATAAAACTGATCCAGAGAAAGCCAAAGGAGGCTGTGGAGCACTTACATATCACACTGAAAGCAAGCGTAGAGGGAGCTCACCTTTCTGCAGCAAAGATAGCATTTAGGATTATGGACATCCTTTGTTAGGTATTTCATTGGGATCTGTATCAGAGTCACTTGTTCACAAGCTACTGCTGTTAGGAAAGTATAGGGAGTTTTCTGAGAAAAGAAGAGGCTATCAGCATATTTTAACATTTGAAAGACTATACCCCAGAGAAGCTTTAATGCCTGCAAGAACCTGACTACAGATTGCATATGGAGATAATTTGATATTTTCCTTCATAACACACAATGAGAATATTCTCTGAGGCACTTCTAAAAATCTGCCTGGTTGCTAATGTATTTAAAGCATTATTTTTCATGGCAAGACTTGAGTTTCAGATTTTCCAAGTGGCAGGAGGTTAATGTTTTTTGGGTTTTTTTACACAGATGTACCCTTTCTCTTAGGGCAAGTTCAGCAGGAATGTATGTACACAAAAGCACAGCTATATCCCACTCATGCCCATTCAGTAAAAAGGCAGACAACTCAAAGAGGCACTGAAAAGAATAGCTGAGTGATTGTGGTGGAAAGTATTTTAACACAACTGAAGAGTGCACACAACATTAATGACTATTTACTCCTCAGCAGTAGTGTAAGTATAATCACAGAATCCTTTTTATCTCACTCTGGTTTTTGGGTCTGATGATTTTCCTTCCTCAAAAGTGAAGAAGTCTTACATAGGACTTAGCCTTCTTTTTCCCATATAGTCTCTTAATTTGGGCTTTATGATCCTCTTAAGATTCTTTTTGCTGACAGAAAGTATGTCCAGATGATCTAAAATCCATACTTCTGTATTGTGTGGATAGTTATGTCCATAAATCATTTTGGTACATGTCAAAATGAATAGATTTTACTCATATTAGCCTTAGGCTCTGCGTATATTACATACTGATTTCTTTTTAATGTTTAATGTTATGTGTGGCAACAACAAGTTAATAACACTGTTACTTAATCTTGTGGAGAATAGGTAAACTACATAGAATCTATTTTTCCATATGTTTGGTACCCTGTTTGCAAAACATATGAAGTTGGAACAGTGCAATCAAACATGTCTCTTTACTGTACACTGGATGAGCTACTACATGTTTGTAAAAGGAATTGGTTAGCTTTCTAGGACTAGTGAATATGTTATTTTTCCATAAACTGGAAATTCTCAAGTTCTGAAAAGAAAAAAAATGCTTTGACAGATTTGCAACCACTAACCTCTACCTTTGTTTTCATGAAGAAGAAAAATACTAACCGCATTACCCAACTACTCACACCAGAATCATGTTGTATTATTCCCTCAGTAATTTGTCAGAATAATCAACATAGCTGTTGTACAGAACATGGCAAGTGTTTCATGTAACAAGTGCTAAGCATACCAACTTAATACATCATTTAAATATCAATGCTGAATGAGGTCTGAAATGTTATAAAATGAACTGTGTATTTTTAATTTACTGGACTGTGCACATTCAAGCTCTCCAGCAGAATTTTTTT